CTCGTAAGTTAATATCAAAGAAACGTAATACATTATATATCTGAAAGCTTGTTTTTCGTCACGTTACATTTGTTAATCTCAATACTATCGATCTAATAATTCGACAATGCCTAATTTGGTCGTTTTAAAAGGATCCTCGATATAACTCTTGTAATTCATCAAGATCCTTTCTGCACAATATTTGCTTGCAACAAGGATGTCACAATGACTTCGATCGGTGGTAGGCACTCCTTGGAAATCTAGGATACGTTCGATCTCGATGGAAGCGAATGTATGTGTGAGTTCGTGTTCCAGTTTTGAAAGCGAACACGTTTGTAGAACCTGTCGTTCTCTTAGGTGTCACCGTTTTTTTTTTCCTTCTTTCTTTTTCTCTTTTCTTTTCCTCCTTTCTTTTCTCCCTCTCTCTTTCTCTCTCTCTCTCTCTCTCTCTCTCTCTCTCTCTCTCTCTCTCTTTCTTTCTTTCTTTCTTTTTCTCCTGAAGAGGAAAGGGGTTTAGCTGATTACATGCTTCGACATCGAAACTACGTCGACAATTACGAATGACAAAAAAAAATAAAAATTTCCTAACTCCTCGTTATTTTTGACTTTTGAGAACGTACGACACACTTGTGTATATCATGCGATTGACGATGCGGTTAACAGGAAGAATTTCTGTTAAAGATATATGAAAAGGTTCATAAAACTCTACTTTTTCTTTTCGAGCTAACCGAAGAAAAGTTATCTGCCGATCTTGTCAGACCGGCATACCGGATAGATACTTTCCTTACGTAATTAACATCTTGACTAAGTCGTAACATTCACCGTTACGATAACATCGCTTAATCGTCATTTTAGACTGTTTCCAATCAATATGTTTGCTTGAATGATATATATATATATATATATATATATATATATATATATATATATGCACTTATTATAGAGATTTAATTTCCATTAAATCGACCTGTCAGTTCAAACGTAAACGCATAGTACTTACTCTCTCAATACTGATCCACGATGATCTCGTGAGTCAAGGACAAAGAACGTGTCCATCGATCCGTCGTACTTACGACAAAAAAAAAAAGAAAAAGAGAAAAAAAAAGTAGAAAAAAGAAAAAAAAACAAGTAGACGATTTATATCGAGGATACTTTCTCAACGTTGTCGCGTGTAAAGCTTGTCAGCTTGGTTAGATCCATTGGTCTTTATTTTCATGAATTAAGGACTCTTCGATGGACGGCGCCAGAATGATTCAGAATGACAGGAGAATATCAATCGATATCGCTTTCAATGATCAAGATCAATGGGATAACTTTTTTCTCTCCCTCGAGCTAATATATTTCCACGTGCATTTCTTAGACGAAAGGATAATTGTTCTCGCAACAGGATATTAAATACGATACTTCGTCAATCGAGCTCCACTTTTAACCGCAACATTTATTAAATTTCAAACGGTAACTTGAACGTTAACGCACTGCCACGAAACTAGTGCAAAAGTTGCAAGAGTTGTATCCTTTTTTTTTTTTCTTTTTCTTTTTTTTTTTTTTAGCTTTGTATGGTTAGTACGGTTTCCTGTTTCTTCCCACTTCTCTTTTCTTTCTTGTTTTTTTTTTTTTTTTTTTTTTTCCTCATTTTTTCCCCCTCTTTGAATCCATTTTCTTTTGCTCCGACATCAATCAATCATGTGTAAATTTATGTTTTGGGACTGGGAAAAGAAAGAAAAAGAAAGAGAAAAAGACAAATGATCGTATCGAGAACGGAAAAGAATTCTTGACGTTGGACCTTGAAACGTAAAGAAATAGGAACTAAAATTTTGATCGTTCGTTTCATCTCCCCCTCTTCCTCTCTCTCTCTCTCTCTCTCTCTCTCTCTCTCTCAGCAAGCGGATGTTAATCTTGTTGGGGCTTTCCTAACTGGTAACGTAACGTGACATATGGTAGGCTCCACAACCGGTAGATAATTTCGTTCAAGATATACAAGCGAATCGGCAACATGGCTACGAGACGAGAGGAGAACTCCTAACGCTAATGGATCGTGAGCAAAGTGAAATCCCACGGAATAATGTCGATGTAAACGCCGTTAGAACGGATCTCAGTCGCATTCTTTTTAAGGTCAATGGCTTCTTGAGTTTATCATCTTGTAATCTGTATTTTAGATCGACGGAAATATACTTTATTAGGTAGAAAAATATCGTATGTTTCTTTTTTTTTTCCTTTCATCCGACCCCTCCCCCGTTCTCTTTTTTCTCTCCATCTATCTTTTTTTTTCTTTTCTTTTTTTTTCTTTTCTTTTTTTTTCTTTTTTTTTTTTTGCCCCGTCGATAGACAGATGAGAATTTCCAATGCTAATTAAATTGTTCGAGGTGATTTACGAGTCAATGTTAGCTCAGGAAGACTTTGTTTTTTCTCTCTCTCTCTCTCTCTCTCTCTCTCTCTCTCTCTCTCTCTCTCTCTCTCTCTCTCTCTTGTTTTTTTATCGCTAATCCATGTTCGAAGAACGCGTTTATGGGTATTACCTTTTTCAGGATTAAGAAATCAAAAGATTCGATTATAATCGATCTTTCGTTAACTAGAAATACGATAAGTTTTTAAGTGGTACCAACAATAATGATATCATACAGTCGAAGTTTATGGCTACCGAATATATGTCCGTTCCCTGAAAGAGATCCCTTGTCGATTTTTTGTCATACGAATGATCGATACCACGACCTTCTAACCTGCCGTCTTTCATTCTACGTGTCCGTCCACTTTCAAGCGTGTTACGATCGAATATTACGAGATATCTTCGTACGATACGTTCGGACATGGATCTTGACGATCGATCGATCGAACGATCGATCTGTCGTTCTCTCGAAATTTACGTCTTATTCAGTAGACGAAGAAAATGAGGATAGATCGTGTTAGGCGCCGAATCGGAGAAATTGTATTAAGACTATTATAAATTCCATGGAAATATTATACTTCGATGGTATTTTAAACGTATTTAAACGTCATTTGGACGTGCTCAAGGAGATGCAAATTTCTAAGGACATTCAACACGCCTCTTTTAAATTACCCGAGGCCATAAATTAATCTCAAGCGTGAGATATCGATCAAGGAGTCTACAACTTGCCAGGGGCAAGGAAAGACCCTCGAGGTTTATTATCTCGGATATTATTCCTACTGGCGAACTGTAAACGTTGAAACGACGAGAATTATGGAACTCGTGCGCGAGTCAAGCAAACGAGCTATAGGTGTTTGGTCACCGCCTTCATTCGAGTACGTTTCGAGTTTCGAGTCTTTTGGTTGGTATAAGTCACGTTCGTAGATATCTCATAAATATCGCGTATATCGATCGTCGACTCTCAGAATCCCCAAAGTCTTTTGATATTATTTTCTTTCGAGATTTAACAATCTTAACTTATTATTACTTTCTCATACGATCTTATTTTCTCTCTCTCTCTCTCTCCCCCTCTCTCTCTCTCTCTCTCTCTTTCTATTTCTTTTTCTATTTCGTGCAGCGCGTGCAATAACAAGGGTCGATAGATGATCTTTGATAAAAGATACACGATTATGCAGAAAACGTTAGACCAATTAAGTATCTTTCTACGTGGCATAGTTAACGGTACTTTGTACTGGCTTGCCTGCCACCGTTCAAGTAAGAGAGAATGTTGCCGATCCAAGATGATTAATTAAGTTACGCTGATGTAAGTAGAATTAACTCGGTAGATACGCGTTAACCTCAACATTAAACGATAATAATTTATGACATCAGAATGAAATAAGTATTTACGCGTTTCTTTTATCTATCTACCCCCATATTTTCGACCCTGACTTCTTCTGACGTTGGTTAAGATATGTTACCGTTGAAAAAAAATTTTCCACTTGGTCAAACTGAATTTTTACGCCTCGTATTCTTCTCTTGTACTTTCACAAACGTTACTCTCGTGAGTTAATAATTAACACCGATGCAACGTGTTACGTTACTTTTCAACGCGATTTTTTTTTTTTTTTTTTGTTTTCTTTTTCTCTCGTTGTCTCTTTTTATTCATTTCATTCTCTTCATTTCCTAACCTTTTACTTTTTTCTCTCTTTCTCTCTTTCTCTCTTTTTTTTCTTTTTTCTTTTTTTTTTTCTTTGCATTACATAAAACTACAGCAAGTGTCAGGTTCATCGAGTATTCACATTCACGCTATAGCGTAACGTTCTCTCATGTCCATGAACTTAACTGAGAATTTTTATCAGATTATAAAACGAATTATATTAAATCGTATTTGCATTACGCTTTTCCTCAATGCACATTCGTGCATCGTACTTATAAATTACTTATATCTATGAATAAGAAATTAAAAAAAAAAAAAAACTAATTCTACAGTCTTTAACTTCTAAATCCTACTTTCTCTCTCTCTCTCTCTCTCGTTTTTTCTTTCTTTTCTTCTTTCTTTCTATTTATAATCTTTAATAAAATTGCCGATATCGTTAAGTCATACTATTTTCATTGGTCATTGCTCCGGAATTAAAGTTGCTGGTACTTCATATTACCGTAGTATTATTGCTTGTGTAATCTTGCTATTTATCTCTCTCTCTCTCTCTCTCTCTTTCTTTCTTTCACACATACACACACATATATATATATATATATATATATGTACACACACACACACACACATTCACGTACGCACGTACACGCATCCATATTATCTTTTTTTTCGTTTAGAGACACTTTCCGATTAAATCTTTCAATCCTCGAGAGTCGATTGATATGAACTATAGTGAAAATAATGAAATAGAAAGCCGAGATAGACGAGAGGAGAGAAGAATGAACTTTTATTAAGGGGGAAACGAGGAAGAGAAGATTCGCGTTATTTCCGCGACGCGATCAGGAATTTATTCAGGATTTCGCTATGCTTATCATTTAAGATAAGAGAAGATAATGAGAAAAGAACTATGACGAATAGGACGAAGATACATGTTTGATTGTTGAGAATCAGTTGGTAAATAATATGTAGATTGATAAGAACATAAACGTTCTTTAAACTTACGTGTCTAACAACGTCCTTTTGTCCATCGTTAGATGCCTCTTCGACGTTTATTTGAATCCCTGGCATGCCGTGGGGTGTCGATTCCTCGTGAAAACAATTGGACAGAACACTCTTCTCTTGTTCGTGATTAGTAAAGGTCGATGACTCTTCGATGATCTTCATCATTCGTTTAACTTCGATCGATCGAATATTATTGTCTTATTTAGATGCTGCTCTCTTCCAAGTTTCACTTATTTTTTATTTATAATATTTCTCTCTCTCTCTCTCTCTCTCTCTCTCTTTCTTTTCTTGTTCCTTTAATTTATCATGGATTCCACAAGAAACCCCACAAAGATCATATCCGAAATATTTATCACGTGCTCCGTGACGACTATCCTATCTCTCTCTCTCTCTTTCTTACTTTCTTTCTTTAACAAATCGGCTGATTCTTAAGTTTAGAACCCTTCGCAAGAATATAGGAACTTTGACCTCGTATTAGAGTAACAGATAAGCTAATATCTGCTGGCACGTCCTTTCTCTCCCTCGTTTATAATACGAGCTGAGAGCAGAACAAACGAGTCCTATTCCTTTCTCTCTACTTGCGTGTTTCTACGTAGAATATCAACAGGTGAGTTCCTCCTTGGGTTGGGTTTATCTTTTTGGATTCTTTTTTGTTTTTTTTTTTTTTTCTTTTTATTTTCTTTTTTTTTCTTTTTCTTTTTTTACGATTTCCCTTTTCGTTTCTCTCCTTTGTTTCTTTTTAGAAAATCGTGCACGGATTCACGAAAGAAAAATGCAAAAGTGGATAAAGTTTTGTAGGGGGCGGGGGTTGTTGATCCTAGCGTTCGAATCACGTGCGAATCTTTTTTTCTTTTTATATCTATATATATCTATATATATATATATATATATATATCCGTGTGTTTCTATATATAGATAGATAAACAGATATATATATATATATATGTATATATATATTTATATATGTATATATATGAGTTCCGCACGCCGTTTCGTGATCGTCTCTCTCGCACGCGTGCGACTAGAGCCGCCGTCGCATCTGGCCTTTGGACTGGCTGGCAGGAGACCACCAGATCGGTTTTATACCTTCGTATCTCCCACTCTATACTTCGCGGTCTCGCTCCGCGAGTTCGCTCACGGCACGTCGATCCTACACACGGGCAGTTCCACCACGGCCGAGAGGATCGATCTTTTTTTCTTCCTCTTTCTCCTCCTCCTCCTCCTCCTCCTCCTCCTTTACCTCCTCTTTCCTCCTTTTCCTCCTTCTTCTCCTCCTCATCATCAGACACGCATACTCGCACGCAAAACGGCATGTTAAGATGGAAAGAGAGTCACCGATTGTGTGTGTGTGTGTGTGTGTGTGTGTCTGTACTGCTCGGCTCTAAACGCAAGGACGATCGACAGGAGGAGGACGAGAGAGAGAGAGAGAGAGAGAGAGAGAGAGAGAGAGGGAGAAGGGTCTACGTTCATGCCCTAGCTCTCCCTGCTTCGCTTGACAACCGATACCCAATCGATTTTTCCATTTTTCATTTCCTTTTCTTTTCGTTTCCTTTTCCTATCTTTTCTCTCTCTCTCTCTCTCTCTCTCTCTCTCTCTCTCTCTTTTCCTCTGTCTGTCTGTCTGTCTGTCTGTCTATCTTTCTGTCTCCATTTCGCTTTTTTTCTCCTATTACTTACTCATTCGTAAATAGATAACTAGGCCTTATTACCTGTTACTTTTGATTTTATTATTTACTCGTTATGAACTTATTGGTCTCGACTGAATAAACTCAAACGAGATCATTGAGTTCCCAATTTGACACGTAATAGTTAACGCGTAATCATTTTCTTACGTTAATCATTTCGATATTAGTTTGAAATATTTTTCAATATGTATTGTTTAGTGCTCGAAAAACTGGTTTCTTTTTTTCTTTTTTTTCTTTTTCTTTTTCTTTTTTTTTTTTTCTTTTTTTTTTTTTTTTTTTTTTTCGTGAATTTCTATATGACATTCGATTTTAAAGAAGTATATGAATATCTCGATGACAAGGGTCTTGCTTCTGTTTTTTTTTTTCTTTTTTTTTTCTTTTTTTGTAATATATTGTAATATAAGTTTCGTGTGTCTGTCATTTTTGTATTTTCATTTATCTCGTTATATTATCTCGATCGGACGAGATCATTTTAACCAATGAGATCATCATATTATATATTTCTATTTTTCATTTAGTCCTTTCCACGTTGGCCTTTCTTCTTTTTATTATTATTATTATTATTATTATTATTATTTTAATTTCTTTTTCTTCTAATGGTTATAGGTATCTGTTCGACAAGAGATATATTGCTATTTCGTTCGAACGAAAAAAATCTCCGACTTCGAAATCTCCGTTTCGAAGAAGTTTATATCTACTTTTAACAATACCCCTTTATCCTTTGTTCTTGAAGTCGACAAGATTATTCTTATCTTTTCTTTTCGTGCTACCGGATTTATGTCGCTTTATTAAAGAAACCGCTTTTATATCTCGTACTCACCGCGATCTTATTTTAATTTCTTCGTACGCCGATCGCCATGACTCGCTTGTCTCATCTTTCTGCGGCTCGTATATCGGCCATGTCTGGACGACAGTAACAACCTCGAGCGAGTTCTTTGCTTCTCTACAACGTGGATTATAAGAGGTCTACGGGATGACCAAAACGAGGAAAGAGCTATTGTATAGCTTCTCATTGGAAACCTGTTCTGTCTTTTTTCATGCAAACACGCGTAGGTAATCCCATTCGTGATAGAGTGCAAAACAAATCCCTGTAATTTTCTTTCAATATGTTTCCCATGTTCTTCTTCATTTTTCATCGAGTTAAAATATTTTTTTTTTGCGTGCCTGCGTGTGTGTGTGTGTATATGTTTGTTTTTTTTTGTTCTACGTACTTTCGGCCAGGATCTGTCATAATCATCTTGAACTACACGAATGTGGCTAACTAACATGAAAGCCCCGATGGCCGAGCATCGTCGATATTTCATAATTCTTGGTGCAACTAGGCGGTATTCGCGTGGGAGGATAGAGATTCCCGTGCAAAGGTAATTCCGTAGCAATCGTATAACCGTCTAATGTCCCGTTACGACAGAATTCATGACGTGAAATCCGGGTCATGATAGAACGCTGTCGTGGATGAATCGCATGTACCATGTTCGATCTGTAGAATATTATTTCGTATATATCGAATCCCGTCTAGGTATCGGTACGGATCAATCAAAGTATAAGTTTATTTCTTTACGCGAGCGAAAATCCATGGATGATATTATTTACGACGAAATAATACAAAAATCAAACGGGAAAGGAATAATTATACTTATCATCGAAAATCATGAATTTCTTTTTGTCCTCGATTTTTCCTACGTCAGCTCGGAAGATAACATCCTCTTCGCGTCACGAAATGCGTCGCTGTTGGGAAAAAAAAAAAAAAAAAAAAAGATAAAAAAATGTATATTGCTTTCGAGTAAATAGTCGGCATCTCGTTCGTTTCCTCGGCCAATTTTGTAACCTTGAGATTTTCGACGAAATGTAAAGCCCAAGAAATCCAATCACGAGTCACCAATTATACCATGGTACTCCCTAAAAATCATTAGTCGGTTTCTCCTTCTTTCTCTCTCTCTCTTTTTTTCTCTCATTCTCTCTCTCGGCAAGACGTAATCGATGCGTCACGCATCTGTAATTCACACCAATGAGACGAGGGGAGAATCACACGACTTCGATCGATCCTCTGAGTCACTGCAATGATCTTTTTTCTTCTTTTTCTGTTTTTTTTCTTTTTTTTTTCTTCTTCTTTTTCCTCCGGATCCTTTTGATGCCGAGGACGCGGAAGGCGTAAGCGTGCTCGTTAGAACTCGACTATTCCTCCTGAGGCATCGTTCCTCAACAACGATATACGACGATAACGAGGTGGAGAATAAGAAGAAAGAATTATATATTCCGATCACAGGCGATAAACCGTGCTCGAGATCGCTCTATTTCGGGCAAGGACTTTGACGGCTTCCTTCCTGTAACGAGTCAAGTCGTCATCGTTTGCGTTCGTTTAAATAGCACCTCTGAACAGGCAACTACCTAGCGAGAGTAGTCGCGAGGTCGCGAATCTCGCGAAACGATCTCGATTGCTAACACGACGTTAAGTAGTTCTCTCTTTCTATATATCTTTTTCTTTCTATACTCACTTCCACCTCCTCCACCTCCACCTTCTCCTCCTTCTCCTTCCTTCCTCCTCGACCTCCAGTTTCCTCAAGCCAAGAAATTACGTGGCTCTTTTCGAAGGCACACCGATCTCTCCGCACGTAGACTCCGCACGCACGTTTCTCCGTTCTCGCGGAATTCACACTTTTGAACGATAATACGTGCGTGCCCTATTCCTCCTTTTTTCTTTTTTCTTTTTTTTTTTTCCCCTCTTTTTTTCTTTTCTTTTTTTCTCTTTGCTACGAAATACGACCTTCGTAAACTTACGAGTCCCACGATTCCACGAAATTCGTGACGAATTTTTCGCAAGTTAAAATACTAAATAAGCATTGGTTTTACGCAATACACGAAGGACGCATGTTGTGGCATCGTTCGTTCGATAATTTTCAATCAATCGAGGTTAGGAATCGATCGATCGATCCTTCGATTGGAAACTCTTTGCATACCTTTTGCTTGAATATACTTATCGGGATAATTATGAGCGACGATTGAAAGAAAACGAGAGAGAAGATACATCGTAGAAACGTATTTTTACGATAGCGTGACAATTTTCATGGAACGAATGAACAAATGGAGAGATAATCAATCGATTAGCTTCTTCTTCGTCATTTTATCGAATGCAAATTTATATTGTAGAATTATACAGGTCTCTTAGAGATAAATAAAGCGTCTTCGTTTTCAAGTTCAGTTTTATTTTTCGCTAAAGATAGAAGATACATTGTCGTAATGTAACGTAGAAATCGTCGTTTCTTTTATGGCCGATCAAAATTTATTATCCTTCCTATTTTATAATCGGATTGATCGATCAATTCGAATATCCCCGTTAAATGGAAATCGAGATGACGTGTAAAGATGCGATTAAATTTCAAGTGCAACGTTCGAATCATGTTATTCGTCTAAAAAAACAAAAAATTACCTATGAAATTACCTGCATACATATATATATATACACACACATATATATATATATATACTTTATATATTATACGTTTTCACGAAGTCACTTCAGACTTGACAAGCTGAACCAAAGAATTTCAAGCCGTTAGGCGGAAGTAAAGAGTTAGGGATCCAGATCCCTTTCAAGATCCTTACCCGTGTCATACGTCATTGTCTCTCTTTCTCTTTCCTTTATTCAATCTTTCGGCGCTCTCTATTCCGTCTCTTTCGATGGAGCAAGGTCAACACTTTCGACAGCTTCCTGATCCATGTCGCGCTCAAGCCTTCGATACGTGCTTCGCTTACATACGTGCGTGAGTTTGTGCGTGCGTGCGAGCCAGCACACGCGGCCAATAAAAGACAAAAAAAAAAAAAAAAAAAAAAAAAAGAAAAAAAAAGAAAAAAGAAAAAAAAAAGAAGAAAGAAAAAGTCGAACGTTCAATGGTAATATCGATCGTTTCCGATCGCGAGCAAGGTTAAAAGGGATTGGCTCTCTGGTGCTCCTTTCAATCTCTTTCTCTGTTTCTCTCGTTATTTGTATTCCTGAGAGAAAAACAGAGATAGAGATAGAGATAGAGAGAGGGAGGGAGAGAGAGAGAGAGAAAACGTTTTTGTCCTTCTCTTTTCCTCGTCTTCTTCGGAATTTATTTCATTTACTGCCCATCGGGTGGCCGTGCGAACCTTCGCTCCGTTAAAATTAATTACGCGTCCATCTACCTGTTTCTCACCTTCTTACATCCTGCTGGCGATTGTTTAACGCCACGAGCGTATAGGTAATCAGTGAATCGCGCCTTTTAATTTTTATTTATCTTATAATGTTTAATGCTATCAATCATTAAAAAAAAAAAAAAAAAAAAAAAGAAAAAAAAAAAGAAAAAAAGAAAGAAAGAAAAAGTTGAAAGGAAGAAATTGTTCTCGATTTAACTGACGTCATTACTGGAATATTTTAGAAAATTGTACATATCGA